CTTGATATTTGGACTCTGTGAAATTTTTGAACCATATTCTGTTATTATAAGGGCACTGTTATTTATGCCAGTGTCCATTATTTGTAATGGTCCCTCTGAAAGGTTTCCTTCCATATAGGTCTTATCTTTTGCATTTGGTATATCTGCATATTTCTCTTTTGAATGTAGTTGAAATTGGTGTTACTATTTCTATTTCCTCATGTGTTTGACAACAAAAGAAATATTATGACTAAAAATAGCAACTATTGGTTTTAGCTTCCCATTGTTGGAGCAGGCAAGTTAGGCTTTTTAAAACAAACAGGAAGAGTGAATGCATTTCTGTTTCTGCCTTAGCTACTTATGTAGACAGCGTCAAGATTTTCTGCTTCTGCTGAAATATTTGACAGCTTGATAACAAAATGTGTATAATAATACAAATAACAGCCTGTGTTGGTGGTGTGGTGTTTTGGGGGTTTTGGTTTTTTTTTTTCCATTCCCATTTTGATTAAAGTTGTAAGTGATGTGCAACACTTTCAAGTACATCTGCATTGCTGTCAGCAGTATCGCTCGGACAGCAGTCACTGAGCTGGTTTTAAATGAACTAGCTCAGATACGGGAAACTAGCTGTGGCAGCACAGTATAGTCCAGCCTAATTTCCCTGATGGAGTGAGGGCAGGAGGATCTTGAGTTCCTTACACTTCGAATATTTGCTATAATTTACGAGAGCTGGTAAGCGATTCCTTTGTGAATATGTTTTTGAAAGTCATGATTTTGCAAAGCGTGGTGTTGTATTGCAAAAAAATACAAATAATAACATCTTCAGCCACTTATCCCAAAAGACAAGCTTACTTTCCTTCAGGAACGCTGTTGCTAATTTCCATTGCTGTGTTTCAACGTTTTGCCATGCTGGAAAGACCCTCGCCAAAACTGCAGGTGGGGGGGGCATTTTTTTCTAGCCAGGATTGATGCACTTTGTGGTTTTGAGAGGGAGTTCTTCCTCACCTCCCCGAACACAGAGGAGATTTTTCAATTTGCTATTTAAATATATAATTCTTCTGCTGGTATTTTCTGCTTCATGGTGGTTTGTGAACATTGGCCAAGAGATTCAAGGAAGATCCTGTTCTTTTGTTTTAGAACATCTGATCTGGTATTTTGGTTTGATGCTGCTAACAAGGGATGCCAAAAGCATTTAGAGTAACGTATTGAACAGCTAGAAACTTATTATACATTCAAATGCTTTGAAGGGGAATAAAACAGTAACAAATAGTTCTCTAGTAGTAGTGTGTATTTAAAAAAGTGTACTACTGGAAACATGAATTGGTAGGATTGATTTGTGTCTTTTTCTTCCAACATGAGGGTAATGTTACCAGAATTAACTCACCCTGGATTACCTCAGTCAGTCGCTAGAGTGAATTTACAGTGGTAAATTCTTTGACATCAGTGAACATGTGTGTCAAACAACTTCTCTTTGAATTTTCAGTGGTGGTTGAAGACAGCAATCAAAAGATGAAACAATATTCAGTCAAAATAATTATAAGCTTTTAGTTGTGTGTGTGTGTGTGTGTGTATGTGTAGGTTCTGCCCAAACAGACAATTTCTACAAATACAATAGTTAAAGGACTTTCACTACTTTTTGGAATTATAGAATTATTTTCTAAATTATGTACTTTCTCTCCCATAATTTCTCATTTGGAACAGTATTTTTTATTATGTGATACCTGTGCTGCTTGTAGTGGGCAATGGTGCCACAAGTCCCTCCTTACCGTAAGCGGTAACGTGTTGGGGGGATGCTGCTGCTGGGAATCTCATTACAGACACCAGATGATGAAATGGTCAAATGGGAAGCATTCCCCTTGCCGTGTAAGCTGTTGGATTCTGACGTGCACGTTGCAGAGCCTTATCTGTAACGCTGAGTTACAACAGCTTGAATATCAACCTTTGTTGGTTAGAGAATATGTTTCTAATGCTGGAGGACTTTTAAATGTGTTGAAAGAGACTATAAGTGACTGAGTGCAAAGCACCTCGAGTTATTTTTAGATTAATTTTTGTAATCTTATATAGCTTATATATATTGCTGTAATACAACACTACATACTAAGACTTCAGCAAATTTTCCCAGAGGCCCTTCTTGCTGTTTGTAATTCAGAGAATGAGATGAGCCTTAGCGTCAGCATTTTAAGTGTGCTAGACCTGTCGATACGATGTAGGTTAGAAAACTTCATGCTGTAGTAAGCCTGGCACACACTGGAGGCAGGAAAAAATTCCTTTTTGGACAGGCTTTTTCTGACATGATGGATGTTGCCTGATACCTTTTAAGAAGCAGTGGGGAATTAGTTTGAATAAGATTCTTGGGAGTTCAGGTAAAATGTTGCTTTCCAGAGTGTTCAGCTTTTTGCCTTCTAATGTGTTGCTTACAGCACAAAATGTAAGCAGGGGGGAGAAAAAAAAAGCTTTTGATGCACCTCTATTTACGGGGCTAGTACCGTGATCTCGAACGGTGGAGGAGTGTCGTGCAGGTGGTTGAGAGTGTTACAGGAGGGTCTTTTTCCTACTCACACCTAGACTTTTACCACGGAGAAGAATCTGGAAGGTAGCTTCATGAAAACACAACTAGTGTGCCTTGAACTTTCCTGTACTTTTCTTTCTGATACAGGGGTAAATGCCTCAGGCTGTACTGATAAAGTCCATCTGGGGTGATACCTGTGAAATGGTGACACTTTGTCTTATTGAGAATTATGGTCAGTAAGGTGTTGACTGGCTGTCTGGTAATACGCTCTTTGTATACTGGTGCAAAATTACACAGTAAAGTATCTTATGTATTGAACGTTCTGAGAGAAAGAGATGAACGGGTATTAATTCAGTTTCTAAAACATGTCAGTTATTCTTTCAATTCAGCTCTCACTACTTCTAAAGAATTGTATGTTCAGC